AGACTGGGTTCTATGGCATCTGTTCTAGGAGAAGGATAACTCTGAATTCAAAATCTGTGGAGGGTCATTTGGAGACCTTTTGGCACATAGGGCATCAGGTCTCTGTATTTGTCTCTTCAAAATGTGTGGTTGGTTCTGCACAAAGCCTTCACCACTATAATCAAATCATATGTGTAGATTGTCTGGCTGTCGGTTCCTAGGAACTGAGGTGACTGACCTGGTAGGCGCGATCAACAGCCCGTGTTGATCAAGGACTGGAGAGTCCAAGATATATGTGTAATATATATATATATATATATATATATATATATATATATAATACATACATACATACATACATACATACACATGGAGGTATGGTGGAGTAATTGTTTGAATTGAGGAATCAGAGAGCCATGCCTGAAATCCAATTGAGTTAATCACATTCAATTATGTGCTAATGCCAATAGGAATGGTATGAATCCATCTCTTCTCCTCCCCAGCTATGGGTAAAATAGCAGGACAGACTGGGTCCTATAGCTTTGTGCGTCAACCAGTCTAAGAGAAAGGAACTCTGAACTTCGAACCAGATTGCACTGTCTATGCATGTGGCTGGGGTACACTTGTGTATCCAAATACCCACTGAAACTCCTACTATTGCCATGTACTTGGATGTGGTGTTAAAAGTAGCCCAATGTTCCAAAGGGAACGAGAGGTGCTAACTACATAACTAACTAAATAGATATACGCATGCATATTTGATTAAAAACCAATGAAATTTCTTTGTTGATTATTTTTTCTTCACTTTTTCAATATTTCTAATCATTTTTCTAATTTCCATTTCATATCTGTAAATATATCTGCCCGTGTCTAAGCCGTGTATAATTGAGTTATGTATGTATGTATGTATATATATATGTGTGTGTGTGTGTGGAAAAAGTTTTCTTGTGTGATATATTTTGTTCTTTAGGGCTTCAATGGACTAAATTTGTTGTGTTGGCGCGACTACACGTGCACGAATGAGGGATGCTGGGAATTCAAATTTTTTTTTTTTTTTTTTTATATCTACACGATTTCATTTAGATTCTTTTTCTTTTAGCTTCCATTACTTTTGTTATTAGATGTTCCTCACAATGGCAATAGAAAATTTGACAGGAATGGTGAAATGTTGTAAGACTCCGGGCACAAATTTGAACTTTTATATATTTTATATATGCCTGCTTTTGAATTATTATTGTTATGGGCGTTTTTAGTTCTGATTATGGTTTTGGAAGTGGTTGTGATTATTTTGATATTGTTTAGATGGGATAAATTGTTTTGGATAGTGGATGTTATTTAGTTGGTAGGTAGTATTAGATATATGTTTTTTCTAGTCTAAAGGCATATAAAATACACGACCGCAACAAACATAACATTATCTCCAACAATAAACTAAAAATCCAGTTCTGATGCTCCAATTCCCATCAAAGATGTTTTTACAAGGATAAAATACTGTGCTGTCCATCTTATTCTGGAGAGAGTGAGGTAAACTGTATCGAGCAAGATTCATTTTGATACAAAATCCAATTCTGATGACCATTGAAGTTATTTTTGTGATAGACATTGGTTAACATATAAGAGGCATGAACTCATAGTGTCCTGAAAGCATTTACATAAGTTTCTGAAAACAACGTTGTTGTGGAGTGTAATTATAACATCTGTCTACCTCTTCTGTAAAACTAGACATCTGGACAACCTTCTGCTGCCACTTAATTTAAAGAGTTTGATGTACTTAGGTCCTTACTTTCAGTACAAACAATTATTTTTATTTCATGGGTGACTTTCATTGGATTTTGCAATTAATTTTGATTATTCAAAATTTATTTCCAAGTTATAAAAATTGCTATTGTACAAAAAAAATGTCACAAAATATCAGGTAAAGAAAAAAAAATCACCAAAAACAATCACAGTAATGAAAAATTGGGAATCCAAAATTTCAGGATTGCAGGTCTGGATCCAGCCAGGAATATTTTTAATTTGCTCATGGAGTTGGCCTGATTCCAAAATGGTATGATATATTGGGCTAAAGCCTCTAGGAGTAAAGTTGAAAAAGTGTAACACAGTGATGCACTGACATTCACATTTATTTATATATATATATATATATATATATATATATATATATATATATATATAGGCAGCATATTTTCATTTGAACATGTTTTGTTGAATAATATAGACATATTATGTCTACTTATTTTTATACTGATCCTTTCATGTTGTCTAATTAATTTCTTGATATTAAGATGAAATCCATCAAGGAAGGTTCCATAGTTTTTTTGAATCCAAGTACTTTCTACCTTTTCTAAGATCATCTTCAGGGGTAAATTACAAAGACAAGCAAGCTATTGTAACTGCGATATCATGTTCTACATTTACAAGAGCCAGATCTGGAGAAAAATGAGAGAATTTCAGAAATGTACATGTGTCATGTATATTATAAATTAATCAGAATGAAAACTGAATGATTATGACTCTGAATGTAGGCGTATGTTTAAAATTACATTTTGTCATCTGTGTGAAGATATAGAAATAACCAGGTTGGTATCCAGTGAGTTCATATGTTTGTGTTGCTATACTTGTATTTTATTTTCTTAAACAGTGCAATTAATAACAACCAGCCTAGATTGAGAAATCCTACTAGGGGAAAAAAACTGTGCCTCCAACAGGAATCAAACCTTTATCCCTTTTTTCTTCATCTTTGAAGAGATTGTCCAGCATTCACTGCTCTATAAGAGGACAGATGTCATGTAACAGTTCAGTACTGTTTTCTTAGTTTCTAACAAAGTCTTTCTATTTCTTAATACTCTGCAAATATTCTAACAGAGGATTTTCTATTTCTTAATACTGCAAATGTTCTAACAGAGGATGGAAAGTGCTACACCGAAATCTAAAGACGCATGGGGATTGTCAAAGATACATTCCAGAAGCTAAGCAGAGTATTGAGAACATCGAATTAAATTTCAGTAAACTTTTAGAAAGTGCAGCTGGTTTTAAAATAGGAAAACCTTTTTTTTTTTTTTTTTTTTTTTATTTTATAATTGAGTTTACCCACATACTTCTGCACCAATGAAAACCCTTTAATTCATAATACAAAAGAATTGGAGCAGACTGTGAAAATTAGGTTAGGAGTTGTAGGTAGAATGATTTAAAAAAAAAAAAAAAAAATCTTAAGGATCAGACCCCTGACAGGAAAACATGTCTGTCAGAAATTATATACAATGGAATTAGAATCCTGCTTCAAAAGCTTATTGTTTGAGGATTTGCACCTCAGTTTATCTATTTTTTTTACCTGTCTAGATAACTCAGATTTTCAGGTGTATCGTTTTTTTGGCTCAAGGTAGCATATTTAATCTGTTGGGGATCAAGTGATAGCAAGCCTCTTCAGATCTCTTACCCTGTTCAATACTCTTTATTATTACCATAATATTATTGATTGTAAAATAATTATTATTATTATTAATACTGTCTTCATGTCAAGCACTATAATTACAAAAACTGCTTACCTTTAAAAACATTATTTTACAGAAATACTCATTCTCATTGTGTCATGCCAGATAATTTTTCTCATCAGAATCTATCTTATGTATTTATATGTCTACTATCCTTCCATGCATTAAATATTGCTGCCACAACTGGTCTGGTGCTTGATTAAATCAAATAATGCAATGTTATCAGCCCTGACCTGGCATCTCGGTTTCAGTCACTTTCTCACTGCTGTAATGTAGTTTCCCTGTGCCTTGAGTTTTTTTAGAATCAGATGGATTGAGGAAATAAAAGTTTGACAAAATGTTACTGAGCTAGAAATGAAAGAGTGATTGCTGTTTACTTACAAAGAAGCAAAGTTAACATGTGACAAAAATGTGAATTTGAAGTTGAAAAGTTAAACAAAGATGGAAGAGCAGGGAAAAAAAAAATAACTAAGTTTTTGGGTGACATAAAAAAGATGAACTTTTACCAGTACACAGTTATATGCTGATTTTAAACATCTTAGTCGAACAAGTGAAATATTGTGGTGATACCATTGACAGCTCTATGCCTCCACAAGGTGTCTACAGCTGATCTTTTACCTAGCTCTAACAGCACAATGGGGAAATGACTAGCTTGTAACATTTAATACCTTAAAAACCAAACTAGCAACATTCCTTCATCACCGAGTGGATCCTGAATTTTTGCTCATCATGATGAACACGTATTCTTATTCTTCGCCTTGAATGCTTATTGTGACTCGAGCTCACTCTAGACCTCAAGTGGAACATATATATATATATCTAATCCATTAAAGATGCTGGAAAAATGTTTAGTTCTTTGCACCACAATAGTAAGTACCTGGCTCCTCCTGCTATGCCAAGTTCCCATTTTCCTGTCTTGATAGAGCTCAAAAGCATCTATGCAGCCTTGTGGGTGATGAATTGTTTTCCATCCTACAACCTCTTTCCCACAGACGCAATGTCACAAGCCTCTTGTTACTCTATCTCTATTTCTATGAATTAAATGAATTCTAGCATTAAATGAATCCTAGAACCACTATTATAATACTGTATACATAATAGTATAATCCTTATTTATATATATTATATATATATATATGTTATATATATATATATATTATAAACACATACAGTCTCCAGGGGTAGTACACCCCCCTGCACTTCATCACCAGGGAAACCAAAAAGCATCATTTTTCATATTTGTTGTGGTTGAAGAAAGTCAGCCCACATTTATTCTATTTTCTGTCCAGAAATATATCAGTACTAACTCTGCTTAGTATCTGTGTTAGCAGCCAAAATTGTTTTAATGTGACTTTTTGTATTTTATTTTTGTTTGTTTTTGTGGGTAGGGGTAGAGGAGAAACAATTTTATATTAAATTCTTTTTTTTCTTTCTCAATCTCTCTGTCTTGCAGTTTTTTTTCTCTTTTTTTTTACTTTTCTTTGTTAGATTTAAAAAAAAAAAGTCTCTTTTTGTCTTTCTTCTATATAG